AGCTTACTACCACAATACAAAGCTGCCTACTAAAATTGTGACCGAACCATCTGTTGAAGCATAGCATCCGAAAGCTTAAGTAGAAGTCATGGTTTTCACAATTTACTATGACACTGATTAACACACAAAATCAACGCAGAACCTCACATAAAGGTGTATCGGCCGAAGTAGCCATACTTCACAGTAGTATACAAACAACAGATGGGTTCTAAAAGAGTAATATCAAAGTAGACAAAGTTGTGTGAGAGAATAAACAATCTGAAGATAAAGGTTAGTGCAAATATTCAAGCTTTAGATGTCAAGGTGTGAATACATGTGTGCTACTGTCACCAAAGGCCACGAACCACTGATTCCTATCGTCTCAGGGACCCTAACCAGGTAGTCTACATCTCCCCACATAGCTTAGACCAACAATATGAGACTTCTTCGATTGGTGAGAAGTCTCGACCTAGCCACCCTAAACCTTCTTCCGACCTAACTTAACTTTCCTTAACATGGCACGTCTAAGTAGGCGGCGACTCAGCATGCGCAGCACATATCCAAACCATTTCAGTCGACTAAGGTTCCCAATCTCATCATCACCTTCCTCTCTTGCTTAGTAACCTTCGCCTAACCTCAACATTGCTCACACGGTGATTCCACTAAACGCGAGCAACGTTACGAGGACATCTGTGATCAGAACTCTGTAATCGCTTCAAGTCTTTTACTTTCAACGACCATGTCTCACAACCGAACCACAGGATAGAACGAACTGCAGCGCAATATACTCGTCTTTCGACAGATATTCGGATATCTCGCCAGTTGAGGCCACGGGTGACGTAAGTTGGCAAATGCCAAGCCGGCCTTCGGTATCCGAGCTGAGATTTCGTCAGCAGCTAAACCGTTTGAGCTGGTACAACTTCCCGAGTAAGTGAAGTGGCCGACACATTCCACCACTTCACTACCTATCATTAAACTGGGAGTGCTGCTGCAGATCAGTCCTGGAGCACCATCTTACATTTGACGGGTGCGAAACGCATACAAAACATACATATGATAGGAATATGGACAATAAATTGTGTCCGAAACGTTATCCAGCAAACGATACTGTTTCACTGTGTGATATTTCTAATAAGCAGACTAGAATGGAATTACAATCGACCACAATGCCCAAGTTTCGCTTTTATATTAGTGAAAACATACTTAGACTTCTCCTCAACGTGTTCAGAAGACTCTGAATCTTTACCTAAAAGGACAACAAGGTTCATACTACGAGTCAACCACCTGACATCCAGGGAGTAATTCAATCCTCGTGAAGTCAGACGTACCAAAGGTTATCTCAATTAGTATGTCTATAACGATATGGTGACAGTGAGCATCTCCGGCAGATACCACTAGCTGTCGTCAATTCACACGACAATTCTCCATAACCTTTACACAGCTGCGTGAGTTCGAGTAGAGAGCTTTGATAAGCACAATATATTTGCTCAGTACTTTCATAACATTGCAAAACACCATATGGCCGAAAGATTCAAATGTCGCCTTCAGGTCAAAAAAATTGCTAGCGTCGGCCACCGGTAGGTATGGCCGTGTTCCAGGACCTGTTGGAGGGTAACAATCAGATCGATACACCCTCATCCAGCTGTCTTAAACCTGTCCGATTTTCTCGAGTTTGCTGTTCTCGAGCTCCAGTAAGGTGTCGCATATCTATGGACCCTGGGATCTTTGACATAGTAGTAGTCAAACTAAAACCCCTACGGTTGACACAATAAAATATCTCTCCCTCCTTATGGAAAGAGATAATCAGAAAAGTAGACCAATTTGGCGGCACTACTTCTGATTACCATACACTACTTAGTACTTCCGTCACATTAATTAGTGATTTTCTATCTCGATCACTGAAAACGTCAAGTGGCGAACTGTTCACCCCTGCTACTTTGCATCGTGTCACGTTTGATTCAGCTTTCTGAATTTAAACGAGAGCTGGAGGACCGATATATACGTCGTATCCAGATCCAGGCTGGATGTTGGACACTTTCAGCGTTGATGAGGACTAGTTGAACTGTGCTCCAAAGTGTTCTGCCCAACGTTCTAGCAGCCTGTCCTGGGAAGCCATCAGTATCCCATACCTCTCGGTGGTGGTTTCACTCACAGTCGTCTTCTTCTTGCCGATATGCTTACTAAGCCTAAGTAGTTGCTGAGTGTTATCCACCACCGATACCTTCTGCATTTACTTCCCCTTCTTCACCCACCACTGCTCGCGATCGAACCGGAAACACTTAATCAACTTACGTCCACGTTGCTTTCGCTCTTCATTGTGGTCAGAGCTAGATGGAATCAGTCTCCTCACATCAGTCAGTTAGGATGACGTCGCAGAAATCCAGTGACATCTGGTAACCTTCGAGAGTAAGTTACCAATTGTCGTCATTGCTGTTTCTAAAGTAGAATTAATATCATGCCAGATTTTCTCAGGATAAGCATTGCTGTCATGTGTAGATAACTGCTTAGCTAACTCCTCCCTAAATGCGTACTTGGCGTCTTCACCTTCCAATCGAACAGCGTATTTACTGCAGCCAGCAAGATGCAGGCATAAACGAACTCTTACTAGTGCATGATCGGAATCAAAAATGGTACTCCAGAAAGAGCAGCAACCCCCACCGATCCTCTTCGTTGTTTTGATGTCGGTGGACACCATGCGAGACGGTGTCTCTCCTTATGCTTTAAGTTAATGCAGGCCAGAAACAAGTGAGTAGAAACAAAATTTTAACAGATAATCACTACTGTCGGTTCGCTGGCATGGTATTCCGTAAATACCTACGAGATGCCTTTACGATTGACTCAGCTTCCCTACTTGAGCGTTAAATTCACCTGACATTATGACTGCATCTGAACGTTTTGCTTTCTGTAGCGAAATTCATGGCTTTTCATAGAATTCATCCTTTGCATTATCCAAACTGCAGTCAATATGTGCGTAGGCGGAAAGTATGAATAGGCATCGCCTATTCTCACGATCCTTCTTATTGCTTATAGATCCATTCAATGGGATAGCATATAGACGGCTTCTAACTGGTATCCAGTCGAGAAGGGCACTTTCTCACCTACAATTCAATGCTATGCCTGCACTAGTGAGTTCATGAAAGCTAGACTTTGGGTCCACGGATACTCGGAAAGCGAGTTTTGAAGATTCACTGCAATGATCAGGTGAGATTAACTCAATAATCACACTCGGACCTTACATACGTTCCCCAGAGGCACAGCACATCCGTGGCTACGGATTCCAGCGTTCCACGGAGAGATGGTTGCTGTTGAGTTTGGACGTTGAAAGCTCCCATATGAAGCCGACGGTGTGGTCTTAGGAGACTAGGAGTGAGGTTTTGATGGCTCTGATCGTTGATGATGGTTGCAGAGTGAAAACTTTGGTAAGGTGTAAGAGGCTTAATATTAGTAACAGAAGGTGGTGGTCAAAAAGGGAACAAAGTTGAGGGGTATAGGTTGTTTGATTGGCACTCGTGTACTCCTGGAAGCATGTGGGTGGTTGATACTTTCCGGGCGCCTACACCTGGGTAAGCTATTTTGAATTAAGATACCTGGAAGAGAAAAAGATTACTGTGACCACAGATCCCATAGAACACTTGCTTGAGGCCTGTCACACACGGCCTTTTATAGGTTGTTGTTTTAAGGTTTGGTTGTGCTAACGCTGGGTAGAGAGAACGCATATCGCCGGTACCAGGAGACCATGGAGTAGGTAGAATGTGTTATTGCTACGGTTGATCTTTTCTGATCTTGCTCTTCTGTTCAGAGGGCAGCATCAGCATGGCACTGCTGATCATCCAAGGGAAACGCCTCACTGTTGTCACACACCCGTCTAGTTAGCAGTATGACTCCGCCCTCGGACCTCCATCATATTAGGGTAATTTACACTACAGCGGTAACTCATCACTATTCCACAGACCTTTCTGGTCTGAGGGGGAGTGAACGAGCATATCACCAGCGTAGCTCGTCGGGTCATTGTGATGTGCAAGCTCGATCACTTTGTTAAGATAACAGCCACATGTCGGGCTATTTGACGACTTTGATTTGTACTAATGAAAGGATGGTGAAGAGATTTTGTCAGATTTGAATCAAACATCAGTTATGCACACTCAGCAAAAATCTTCACCTATGATTCGATTCGTTAGTGGTGAGATTACTTCGAAATCGCGGCACATATGTCTACCTCTAATTACTTCCTTGAGGAAGGGTACATTTTTAGTACAACTGACATGAAGGCAACTTTGGCCAAAGAATTTTTGTCTTCTGTTCAATATACTTTTCGATGAATGCGATAAGATTTAAGTAAGAATATATGTGCAGATGAATTTGGGAGTGATAAACAACTGTCATTAAAAGAAAGCAAATGACTAATTTCGTCTGTTGAAACCAGAAAAGCACTGAGAAGTAACCGCTAGTAACTACTGAGGTCTTTTTAAAATTTATAAGATGTTAGAAAAAAAACAGTACTGTAAAGGTAAGCAAGAGTATACTGTGCTGAAGTCTTGGTTACTGCATACTACACTGGTAGCTAACCAGACTAATACTTCCCTGTGACCGAAGGATGATGTTCTTAAGCTGTAAGCATACAAAAAGACTGAGTTGCAAGTTCACCTAATACGTATATATTTTCCTATAATAGCCAAGAAAGAACTAAGAGGATTGAAGAAATAAAACATAATTATAATCTACATAAAATAGGTGCAATCTGACCTTAAAATAATAAATAGTCAAATGTAATAAGGTTAGCAAGTAGTCGATAAATCTGTCCCAATTCATGTAGGAATGATCTCTTATCCTTTTTGACAAAGTGCTACACAAGATAACGTAAATTCGATACCTAAAATATGTAGGATACGTATTTAGCAATCAGTTGTTTCAACACTCACCTTTCAACAGCTGTAAAGTACACATTACTATAATTATTACTAGTTAAGATACAGATAGAAGTATCAAACACAATGAAACTGATATTTATGCACAATGCTTACCCTAGGCCAACATTTTGTATACTGGGTTGCATCTTTAGTTAACACTGAATCATGTTGCCTCCAGGTATAAAAAACGCTACCAAGCATACCATTTACAAATACAATATCAAAATCATAATCTTCATTGATATCTCTACAGGAGGAGGAAAGTATAAGACAAAAATTGAATTTGAAAGTTATAAAAATAAGATGCAAAATACAGGAAGTGTTCATGATTACGAATCATGTTAAATGAAGTGGTTTAAATATTGTTTTAAGAGAGATGTTCATGTTGAAGGCTTTCGTTAACTATTAGCTTGAACAGATTAAATACAAACAACTGCAACATACCATACCAGAGTTTACACAGATTAGTGACAAATGAGTTCCCTTTGAATATTATTATGATATAGGTGGAAATGATCTACATATTCAAGGGTGAGTATTGAAATAGGAAGAAAGACTGAATCTTTGTGGGACTCGAACGAGTCTACTATATATTATCAGTCCAACAATGCTAAGGTGTGAGACCCATCCAACACTTTAGTGAGAGGAAGCTATAAAAAATTAGTACATACTGATGTACACATTTAAGTAATAACAGTTTCAGGATCCTAAAACAGTAATGTTATCTCAGTAGAACCGAAAAATAGTAGTTAAACCTCATAGCTCATTCGACAGAGTATCGAGGTATTAATCCAATGGTTACTGTTTTGAATCATGCTGTAATCTAGGCTTTCTATCAACTTCGATCACTTTGAATATATTGACTAGAACGTTTAATCCCCAACAAATGAGCTTCAAAATGCAAACAACTCTTACTGCTGAAAGGGTCTATAAGAAATTTACATTCAAGATTTCAAAAACCGACATTAGGATTACAATGGAAATTACAGCACAAATTCACCAAAAGTTGAATGAGACATGAAAAGCCTATCTGAAACACTCGGATATCGACAGCCTTTCATGTTATACAGAGTGACATTAATTAGCTGATCAACTTCAGCGGTATCTATTTGGTAGGAAAATCAGCTTCCAGTGAAGAAAACCTTTTCTTCGCTGAAACCACGTCTTGTCTTTTCCTACGTTACGCATACAAAAGGAATCCATATGAAAAAAACAGTACATATTCTTTGTCGAACTGTTTTCGCAAATAACCTACTTCTTACTTGAAAACACTAACAATAAACTTTCGACAGCAGAAAATACCTTGTTTGGAAATTCTCGAACTACCTATTTATCATTTGTAAATATTATGGAGCATAAATTTATCGACTAACAATTAATGCCTTGTATGTAAAGCGAACAACAAAAAAGGAAGTAATACACTTTCATAAAACATTTAAACGATACCATCATATGTATGGTAAGATTATCAAACAACTGGGTCATGCATACAAAAACACTAGATACAAGAATGAACATATTTTACACGGAAATGACCAATGTCACTCGGTAATTCGAAACATAAGTTGGGTTTAAAAAGGATACACATAAAGTAAGCAATCAAGGTTAGTTGTGAAAAGACTTAAAAATCAATCTCATGATAATAGGATTACGATAGTAGAATCATTAGAAGATGAGACAAATAAAACAGTAGGAAACAACCACTCAGTATTCCCAATCACAAATTGAAAAGGCTCTTTACGGGATATTCAACAACTAAAGAAATCCGACCAATTAGCGTAGATTTCAGTGGAAAGTGAATCTACAATTTTTGGATAACAACAAGCAGAGGTCGATCAAAAATATAATACACTTGTTTGTTCACGTCTTTGGTATGCACAAAAGGAACAAATAGAGAAACCAATGAGTGTAGCACTAGAGGAAGGAACTAAACTAAACGCTACAATTGAGGTAAACAAAAGTTTTCGGATATTACAGCACGTATTTATCACACACACACGCTAAAAGAAGAACTCCCAGGAGAAGTGAACCGATTTAATTTGTTACACAAGATCTGTAGAGAAAAAAAATACAACAGATGTACGTACACAATTTTAAGTTTGGAAAGTTTTGGTGTTTTTTTAAGCATCTTAAAATACAGAGAGAGAATCAACGTAGAACATCACACACAAGTGCATTCGTCCAACTGCTATACTATGCAGCATTCAGGGAACAAGTAGATAGAAAAATAATGATATAAAGGTAAAAAGTGTTTGGGAAAAGCAGAAATTTGAACATCAAGGTATACAAAAATGTTTAAGTTTTAGAAGACGTCAAAGAGTGAAAACATTTGCACCATTGTGAATAAATTTCATTCATGTCAACAAAAATCATCAACAAATTGATGTCTATTATCTTGAGGACCCCAGGCAGTACCGTGAGCTTATATATGAAGACAGGCGAAATTATGCAACGAAAGTCAGTGCTTAAGTTTTACAGCCGTCCCAAACCCAAATGGTGTGGATGCTTTGAAAGTAGAATCCACTCTGCAACCATGAGCATGTAAGTGGCTCAGACAATGAGCTACACCTATTGTGTGGTGGTCAATGATACTACCTGGCTCTTCACACCTAGATAGATAGAAAAGCGTTAGAGCTAATGACCCTGTGATCGAGTGAACTACCTGAACTAATGAGCCATAACTGCACGTGGATGCTTGCAGTTAATGGGACCAGGAAAACTGAAGTCTGATGTGGTAAACTAGAAGGGAGAGTGTATTCTATAATCATGACTTTAGTATACGTTACTGGGAAACATTTTGACTCCATATCACTGGAGACCATCATCATAAATACAGTTCTTAAAATAGATCAGAAATAACTGAAATAAAAGAATAAGGTGACATCTCAATAAATATAGTTTTATGTATATTGATCCTTATAATTCCCCTTTGTTCTGTTGTATCGAACTGCTCAACCTCTGTTGGCAGATAGGCTTCTATGAAGATGTCTTGATACTTCCCGGATATTCATTATGTTGTAGTCTACTTGTTGGCTAGCAGTGGAATCTAGGATGAGGATTTTTTCTCTATTTGTTACTTGTCAGATGAATGTACCCGCACCGAAGTGAGTGACGTTGTTTCCACTGAGACTCAAAACCAGTACTTATTGCTTCAAAGATAGAAATATAATGAATATCCAGGTAGCAGTGAGGCATCCGCATAGGAGGCTATCTGCCAGCAGAGGTTTAGAAATTCGACCCAGTATAACAACGATGAATTACAAGTATTACAAACAACAAATAATACCCGTTGGACAAGTAGTGGGTCACGTGCCCCAGTGGACAATGTTTTGGCATTTGAAGCGATGGGTACTGAGTTCTCAGTAGGAACAGTGAGTCTCAGTGGAAACAATCAATCAGTGAGGTGGATGTACAACCTGCTGACAAGTCCCGAACAGAACGAAACGTGCGTTCTGGATTCTACTGCTGGCTACGGAGTAGACTACAATAGTTTTATGTAGTTTTACTACACAACAATAGATGTGAGGCGGTTTTCGCAAATAATTTGAAGAGACACTTGACAATACCTTTCATATAATCTTGCGATATATAGAGACAAAAATGATACAAAACTGTCACGTTGTAGATATTCCCCGTTGATGACTAGTCAACTACACAGGACTGAAAATGCATTCATCTAATAAAATGTATGAACAACTAAATATGTAAATGACAATACAAATGGTTAACAATAAATATTTACAAAACAAAGAAATGTCCAAACTAACTGAAAAGACTAACCATAGTAACAGCATAAACGTTAATACAAGAATTTATACAAAATAATAATGTTTTAGTTAATGAAAGGAACAGTACATCAACACAGTAAACAAATGAATATCAGCACGGAACACTGAATTAAATACTTGTTTTCAATAAAGCTATCTGAAATTAAAACAAAAATAAAAGTGATTTGGTGCAGTGATTATAGTTCGTTACACAATCGGCAAGAAGCTCTGTTTGACCAAGGTTTCATGAATGCTGGCATTCATCAAGTAGGTGTATATCCAACTTCGAAAGAACTAAGATACTAAAACAGTTGAACAAATGTCAAGTGAAACACAATATCAGAGAGTTATTCAAGCCCCGATTGAATTAGATACATTCATACAAGTTCAGAACTTCATGAAGTTTGCCTCATAACGTCTAACAACACTCAAAATGTACTACAATAATGAGATTTCTGATTAATTGACTGACTGACTAACAAGATCAACGTAGAACCTCGAACAAAGGTGTACCAGCTCAAGTTGTCACACACTTCACAAACAGCAGATGGGTTGAAAAAGAGTGAAGTCGAAGTATACAAAGTTATGTTATGGAATAAACAATGTGAAGATAAAAGGTTAGTGCAAATATTCAAGCTTTAGATGTCAAAGAGTGAATACATCTGTACCATTGTGACCAATTTTCAGACATATCACCAAAAGACCCCAGCCACTGATTCCTATCGTCTCAGGGACCCTAACCAGATAGTCTACATCTTCCCACATAGCTCAGGTCAACAGTAAGAGATTTCGACTGGTGTCACCTCTCGCCTGGTCTGGCCACTCTGAACCCTCTTCCGACCTAATCCAACTTCCCCCAACATGGCACGTCTAAGTCTAGGTAGGCGGTGACTCGCCCTGCTCAGTACACATTCAAGCAATTTCAGTTGACTAAGGTTCACAACCTTGTTCTATTTATTTTGTTTGGGACTTAGCAAGAGACACTACAACATTGGTTATCCTTTAGTGACTAATCAAAGTACGAAGAATGTGTTTCATTTGAACTATTCCAGTGACTGTTCTCGTTTCATTACACGAAACAGCCAAACTCTCGTTGGGAAAATCGGCTTCAATCACATGAATATATCCTAATCATACTTTGAAGACGTATTCTCTGAACTGAAAAATACATTCGATAAAAATACCATATGATGTTTTTGTTACCTAGACATACTTCCTAACCCGATAATAGAAGTTATCGTAAACATGTAGCATGAAACTGAATGAAAACACTACGTATGACAGACAGACAAGATCAACATGGGAGTAGGCATTACTGCACCTCACATCAGTACATCAATCAAGAAAACACTAACAAGAGAAATAAAGAGAATATAGCAGTCAGAGTAGTAGAAAGTCATGAAAAGATTAAGCGGAAGGACAAGGAAATATTAAATTCAATGTGACGATTAAGATGAGGATAATCGAGCTGTGGCTGACTTGGTTTAAGGAGATGACTTCCAACCAATGAGTCACGGGTTTGAGCCCCATTCCACCTACCTAAGTTTCGGCAGACAGGTAGAATTGATAGCTGTCACACAACAGGCGTGGCTCACTGCTTACTGCACGAATTCGCAAGACGCCGCTAGGTGCATTTCGACTCTGAGCCACGTCACCTAGTCTTTAGTCATTAGTTTCCGTTATCATACAGACCGAATCGGAAATTCTACATTTCCCCATATGCCTCACACCAACAGTTAAAAAGCTCATGAACTGATGCTACGTTTCGGTCTGGCCACCTCAAACCTGTTTCAAGCCTAAACCTACTTAAGCTAACATTGTGAGATGAGGCAGATGGTTACTAGGCAAACGTAACACATTCTCCACTCACCCATCCGAACTTATGAATGTTTCCAACTTCATCAAATGACTTCACTTTCCTCCTAAAACTTAACACTTAACTTCTTACATTAGTGAAGCCGTGACACCGTGAGACACTGCTACGAAGGTAGCGGTGGTCAAACACCAAAAGCATTCTCATATCCTCTTCCTTCAATGGCCATGTTTCACACATACAGTAGAACAGAGCAAACTACAGCAAAGTATACTCGACTCTTACTAGGCAATCGGATATCACCACAGCATCACCGATGGCGTTTTTTGGCGAAAGCCAAGTGAGCCGTTTGTATCTTTGCAGAGATTTCCTCGGTCACTGAGCCACTAGTGTAGATCCGACTACCCAGGTAAGTGAAATAGTCAACGTACTCAACCGCTTCACTGTCCGTTGCTAGCCGGGACACCACAAAAGACCAGTCCTGGAGCAACAATCTGTATTTGCGTGGTGGGAAACGTATCCCAAATATTCTCAAATTACCACTCAAGGTGTGCAAGAGATTCTAAATTTCCATTGACATCATTAAATTATCCATTACATGAAAACTTTATTTCGTTGTATACGTTTTCTTATGGGAAAATAAAGTAAGGGAACTGAGACAGAAAAAATTATAAAACATGAAGTCTACGTATAGAGTTTCTAGCACATTCAACAGTTTTAAACTAAGTTAACAAATTGAATTCGATTTCTAATGCTGAAAACAAAGTGGTACTTAAACATTCAAGCCGAAAATTTTACAGATACATTTATATAACTGTATATCAATGAACAAAACTGAATATGAAATACAGGCGTTGCTTTAAAGGTTAGGTTATCTATTTCACAAAAAAGTGCTTCTTGATAGACTAACGAAACTCATTTGGTTATTGCGGTAGCTGCTGGGATGGCCATTAAATTTATTAGAAATACAGCAGGAAAACATACGCAAACAGACCGACGTTGTTTATTTAGGTTTCCTCGAAATAGATGAAGCCAATGATCAATAATTCCTCTAAATACTACCAATCTAGTGCCTCTTCATTCCAATCTTAGTCCAGCCAGCATCGTATACTACCCTTTAGTGGCTCAGCATGTGTGGTTGAGACTCCGTTAAACTAGAGTTTGACTCACCATGGATTCTGGCCGCATCAGAAGACAACGTACCACACTGTAATTTATTATCCAAAAAAGTCGATCGAATGAAGATACGAAAAATTAATCAGGAAGTATTCTTTTGCCACCTTGGCATACTCCTTATAGCAAAACACTGATGGATAAATGCTGTCAGCAAAAGTAAATGACGTTCAAGGTTGCTATGATCATGCGAGTAGATTGGGAGCTAGCACGTATTAATTGCTTAGATCATTGATTCTGATTAGTCACTCTGTTTACTCTGTTCGTCCTAACAGCAGCATATAGTCTACATAACCACCTTAACCAATGCAACTTCACACCGTTATCAAACGACTAGATTACTTTCATGGAAACCTCAAACGTAACCAGAATACCACTCAAATTGTGGTTTTATTATGCGCAATCAACAATGCAAAACACATGTGGTAGAGAGCTTAGAACCTCTTTATATCTTTCATCCCCAAAGACCGTAATGTAACACAATTGTTTTCGTATCAGTAGCTGGATATGTCTTTTCGATGGTAAAGACGATCGAAAGCCTGGTACAGTGTCAAAGAAAATGCTGAGAATTCGCCCGTAGACTGAATGATTTTATGGAAGGCGTGCTTCTATGGAGTCCTAGTTGGTCATGAAAATAATAGTATTAACACAAAAGTCAATCTAGATCACCATTACTGAGTAACGGTCCAAGTTGCCACACCTCATATCAGCGCATGAAGTAACAAGGCAATCTATGGAAGATGAACCAGAAAGGATAAAATCGGTCAAAGGAAGTAGAAAGTAGTAAAAGGGAGGAAGGAAAAAGATGTTGATATTAAGTATGGCGGTTATGATGTGGATAATGTATGTATGCATCTGCACTGCTGACATCGCTTCTGAGCCACATCACCTAGACTCTCCAACCACTGGTTTCTCTTGACCCGTGGACCTCAGCCGGCTACTCTGCATTGCCCCACATGGTTCAAACGGACAGTCAAGGACTTTATGTCTTGATGCCATGTTTTAGTCTGACTGCCTCAAGCCTTTTTCCAGCCTGAACCTACTGCGGCCAACATTGTGCCTCGTCACACAATGTTGGCTGAGGTGGGTCCAGGCTGGAAAAAGGCCCGAGGTGGCCAGACTAAAACATGGCACCAATGTATGAAGTATCTGACTGTTGGTTTAAGCCATGTAGGACGATGCAGACTAGGTGGTTGGGGTCCACGGGACAAGAGGAACCAGTGGTTGGAGACCCTAGGTGATATGGCTCAGAACCGAAGTCAGTGGCGCAGATGTATACACACATTATCCTCATCTTAACAACGCTATACCGAATCTCACTATTTTGTCACTCCTCTTTCCTTTCTTCTCGTACTTTATATTTCTTTTGACTGCATTCACTTATCTTCATCCTTCACCTCACTACCTTTTTACTTGATGTGCTGATATGAGGTGTGGCAACTCGGACCGTTACGCAGTAATGCCTGGTCCTATGTTGATAATGATGATGATGATGTGCTACAAGGCAGATGGTATGGCGGATGATATGATTATGAACAATAATTTATGCTCGAAACGTAATCAAGTAAATAATACCGTATCACTGTGCTCTTTATATCAAATAAACAAATCTAATATAGAATTACATTCTACCACAGTGCCCAAGTTTTACACTTATATTAAGGCAGATGGTGGTTAGGCACACGTAATACATGTTCCAGCCATCTCAGTCGATGAAGGTTCACGACAGCATCAAATGCCGAAAACTCTACGTCAGACTTCTACATTAGTCACGTGGTGACACCATGCAACATGGCCTATGTTATGAAGGCAATACTGGTCAAAGGACCTAACTCAAACTAGTCTCACAAAATATAACAATTGGTAGGTAGACTTATCGATGAATAAAATTAAACACTTATGCGAGATGCAATAAATATGGTAAGTAATTACTTTCTATATTATAACTCATACTAATAGGATACATAGAGCCCATCATACACAGATCATGTGTGCATTATTTTATTCACAAGAAACGAGACATTAACTTCAATGGATTACACATAAATTATAAGAAATTTATTCAAAGTGACTGTTTATTTTACATTAAACACTCACTTAGAAATGTTTAATTTATAAACATCTGGACAATAAATGGGGAGTGAATTAGGTGAATTACAACTTTGTTGATTAATTTCCTTCTGAAATGTAGAAGATGATTTGTCTGACAATCTCGAATGCACTTTTAGATTGTGATCAATTTTCGCACCAAGAAGATTTAAATGCAAACTTGGAGAAATTTCCCAAAGTGCGAGTAGTTTATTCATATCTAATGAATAAAAGAGGCAAAACAGGTGATGATAAATGCATTTGTACGCACACATATAAAGGAAGAAAATCACATCAGCAATGTATGCAGGTAAATCTCAGTTACTACAGTTTAGATGTAAATTATACAGTTATGTATAACTGTTAAAATCTCTAACCAAACAACCGGCTAATACAAAGCTTTTCCAAGTACACTGCCTCTAAACTAGATGGTAACATTTTTTCAAAACCGTGATACTATTGGTTTGGTGAAAGAAAGATAACATTTTTATGTTGAGACTAAGGTAGACGTGTTTTAACCCGACCGATAGATGTAACCTAGACGTGGTGGTCCGGCTTGAATATCACAATGACCCAACGAGCTATGCTGGTGGAACGCTTGTTCCCTCGAGGTCCTACCATACCAGAAAGGTCTGTTGGGTAGTGGTTAGACGAAAAGCAGTTACCGTATAGTGTAAATTGCTACACTATGATGGGGGTCTGAGGGCGAAGTCGTACTGCTGCTAGCTGGATGGGGTGTGACAGCAGTAAGGTGTTTCCCTTGGATGACCAGCAGTGCCAAGCTGATGCTGCCTTCTCAGTGGAAGGGGGGGTTAGAAAAGGTCGGCCCCAAAAATAACACACTCCACCACGCCCCACGGTCTGCCGGGCCGGCGGTGTTGGTTCACTTGTCGTTTCCTTTCGCCCATCCGGCCCCAAAAATACAAAAATTCAAAATAATCATACTCAAAAGGCTGGGTGTGACAGGCCTCAAGCAGATGTCCGATGGGCTCTGCGGTCACACAAATCTCTTTCAGGTACCTTAAGAAGAAATAGCCTTCCACGGTGTGGGCAGCCGGGAAGTGTCAACCGCCCTCACAACTCTGTCAGCACCCAAGTTTCTTCTGACTGCTATCCTCCTCCTCCATCATTACCTTCTAATCTTCCTTCACGTCTCTTAATTAATGATGCTGCATCATCTTCAATTTCTCCTACCTCTGCAGCCTTCGACAACGATCTGAGTCCACAGAACAGCATCCCTGGTCTCCTTAAACCACGCTCCAAATTACATATTGGAGCCTTCAATGTCCGCACCCTCCGTCAAATTGGCCAACAGGCTTCGTTGGCAAAGACTCTAGCAACTCGGGCATGGATGTGTGCTGTGTTTGTGAGACACGCATACAGGACCCAAGTGTGGTTATTCACCTGACCTCTCCTGACCAATCTGGTGAATCTGCAAAATTCACCCTTCGAGTTTCTGGAGATTCGATAGCTAGCTCTCGTGGTCTTGCAGGTGTAGGTATAGCATTAAGCACCAGGGCAGAAAACTCACTACTAGACTGGATCCCAGTTGATAGTCGCCTCTGCGCTATGAGGCTGAACGGCACAGTGAGAACTAAAAGGAATAGTGAGACTCGCCGTTGTCTCTTTGTAATCTCTGCTTACGCACCCACTGACTGTAGTTCGGATGAAGTGAAGGACGAGTTCTACCATAAACTGTCTAACCTCCTCTCGAAAGCCAAACGTTCGGACGTAGTGGTTGTTGCAGGTGACCTCAACGCACAGGTGGGTAGACTGAGTGAGGCAGAAAGGCACTTAGGTGGCACTTTCGGAATCCCAGCTGAACGTACAGATAACGGTGATCGCCTATTACAACTATGCTCAGATAACCGCCTATTTTTAGCCAGCACAAATTTCAGACATAAAGAAAGGCACTGTCTGACCTGGCGTCCACCGAGCTCGACTCAGCGATGGACACAGATAGACCACATTGCTATTAGTCATCGCTGGAGAGGATCGGTGGAAGACTGCCGCTCCTTCTGGAGTACGTGTTTGGACAGCGATCATGCGTTGGTCCGAGCACGTATATGCCTGCGTCTCAATGGACGTAGAAAAAATTTGGCAACAAAACCACTACGAGTTCTGCTGGACAACGAAAACACCAAAGCCGTGTTCAGTGAGAAGTTGGCTAGGCAGTTATCGGAACAAAAGACTGTCACTCATCCAGAAGAAGCTTGGTGCCATCTTCAGTCTACTGTAAAAGCAGCACTGGAGACTGTAGCCGACTCCAAGATAATGGCTAAAAAGAGCCAGTGGATATCAGCAGCTTCTTCCAAACTAATGGATGCACGTGAATGCATCCCTGCAGGCTCTGAGTACAATGAAGAGCGAGCGCAACTTAAAAATAACTGACGAAAAGTCTGCGCAACGATCGTGAACAGTGGTGGGCAGCAAAGGCTAAAGAGATGGAAAAGGCAGCGGCGATCGGTAACAGTAGACAGTTATTTAGACTTATTAAGGAGACTGGGGGGAAATGGTCAACAACAGTTAGTGAGGTTATAGCGGAGAAGGACGGATCTGCGATTCACTCGCAGGGAAGGCGACTGGGACGATGGGCAGAACACTTTGAGGAACAGTTTAACTGGCCTCCAGCCACCATTGCGCTGCCCGCTATCCAGTCGGACCCTGAATGGGACATAGAGACAGGTCCCCCAACACTAGAAGAAGTTGAGAAAGCGGTAGGTAGCCTGAAACGGGGAAGGGCAGCAGGACCAGACGGACTACCTGCTGAGGTATACAAGAATGGTGGTAGAGTTCTCTTAGTCAGGCTAACGGAAGTGTTAGCCAGTATATGGGAATCAAATACGATCCCCTCCGACTGGTCTAAGTCACTGATCATCCCAGTCTTCAAGAAAGGCGAGAAGTCCTCTTGTGATAACCACAGAGGAATCAGCCTGACAAACATAGTGTCTAAGATCCTAAGTTCTATAATTCTCCGACGCCTGAGTGGAGCTCGGGAACAGCAAGCCCGAGAAAACCAGGCAGGCTTTAGACCTGGCCGTGGATGTATCGACCAAATATTCACACTGCGCCAGGTCCTGGAACATAGGCATGCTTACAGACGCCCGACAATAGCTGTATTTCTCGACCTGAAGGCGGCATTTGACTCCGTTGATCGAGAAGTCTTATGGCAGTGTCTGTCACTGAAAGGCGTGCCTAGTAAGTACATCACCTTATTGAAAGCTCTCTACTCGAACACTTGTGGGCATGTTAGAGCCTATGGTGAGTTGTCCAGGGAGCTATACTCATCAAGTGGTGTCCGTCAAGGATGCCCACTATCCCCATTCTTATTTAATTTTATCATAGATATTCTTATGGAGGTTTCCCTCTCGTCACCTAATTACAAAGACGTTGACCGGATCACAGGTGAATTTTCCTTAGATCTAGAATATGCAGATGACATAGTCCTGTTAGGTGAAGACGCTGACAAGATGCAGAGTCTTCTGAACACTTTGAGTGGGAATTTGAGAATGTTTGGGATGCGATTTTCACCACCCAAATGCAAATTTTTGCTCCAGGACTGGTCTTCAGCGGTACCGCGGTTAACAATAGAGAGTGAAGTGGTTGAGTGTGTTGACCACTTCACTTACCTGGGAAGTAGGATCAACTCCGGTGGGTTAGTTGCCGATGAGATTTCTGCACGGATACAAAAGGCTCGATTGGCTTTTGCCAATTTGCGCCACCTATGGCGCCGCCGTGATATTCGTTTGTCTATTAAGGGTCGCGTGTACTGCACAGCAGTCCGCTCTGTTCTACTGTATGGCTGTGAAACATGGCCATTGAAAGTGGAAGATACAAAAAGGCTTCAGGTATTTGACCACCGTTGCCTTCGTAGTATAGGACGTATTCCGTGGTGTCACCATGTGAGTAATGCAGAAGTTAGGTGTAGAGTTTTAGGGAGAAGAGGTAAGTCAGTCGACGAGGTTGTGAACCTTCATCGACTGAGATGGTTGGGACACGTACTACGTATGCCTAGTCACCGATTGCCTCGTCACACAATGTTGGCTGAGGTGGGTTCAGGCTGGAAAAAGGCCCGAGGTGGCCAGACTAAAACATGGCACCAATGTATGAAGTCTCTGACTGTTGGTTTAAGCCATGTAGGACGATGCAGACTAGGTGGTTGGGGTCCACGGGACAAGAGGAACCAGTGGTTGGAGACCCTAGGTGATATGGCTCAGAACCGAAGTCAGTGGCGCAGATGTATACACACATTATCCTCATCTTAACAACGCTATACCGAATCTCACTATTTTGTCACTCCTCTTTCCTTTCTTCTCGTACTTTATATTTCTTTTGACTGCATTCACTTATCTTCATCCTTCACCTCACTACCTTTTTACTTGATGTGCTGATATGAGGTGTGGCAACTCGGACCGTTACGCAGTAATGCCTGGTCCTATGTTGATAATGATGATGATGAGACGTGTTTTAAATGTCAGTCTTCGGTTGTTTCCAGGATAACATAGGAAACAGCTTAAAAAAGAATACTTTCAAAACTTCCAACATATAAACAACTAATTTTCCTTTATGGTCGTTTTCGGCGATTAAATATGTACCGCATATTTGTAATCCTCTTGCATAAACATTTGAATTGAACATTTAGTTAAAATAGTTTCTGATAGCTCATTTTAGCTACTGCTTAATGTATGCATCTGATACCAAAATACATAATGGTTGCAGCTTGAACTCAGTGTCAGAATTTTAAGTTTTCGCTTATATTCCAATTTGCACTCATCAGCTGCATCCTAATGTGACGGAACTCTGGTCTGGACTTGAACATAAATGGCATCGAAAAAAGTATGGGGCTGTTTAGAAGAATACGTTTAGTGAACACATACATCAACAAAGACCGATCAATTATATCCGGGATGACCGTCAACGGTCAAGGATTGATGTCAACACATATACAAGAACATATTTCTGTCTGGTTTCACATGGGTCGAAGGAAATGCATTAGAAGTTCTATCTCTGAATACTTAATCAACTACAACCATTCAACCCACCCAAATAGTGATTTTAAGGTTATCTATGGAATTCGCTCAAATATCTCACGTTTCCTCCCCTTCAACTTCTAAAAACACAAGGGGCCTTGACTTTTTATCAACTGAAGCCTGACCTTTGTGTGCAAAAGAAATTTGTACACTCCTGTCTCCATCTCGGTCTCAACTTAATTCGAGCTTG